AATTAGATAACGACAGAATTGAATAAGCGAAAGGTTGCATTGTAAAGTTTTAATAATGCTAGTAATACCAATCCATAATAAATCTACCCAAGACTGGTGTCACGACTTCATAGACTGTCTAAGAGTACTACAATTAAAGGTCTGAAAGAAATAATACAACACTGTCTCTGGCAATACAAAAGAAACAAGAATAACAGATGGAAGGAGACTCCAAGGTCTGCGGATGCCTGCAGGACTATCTCGGGTCGCCTGATGAACACGAAGCAGCAATCTCACTGCGGTCCGAAGTCTATAGCACTGGGATCTGCACAAAAGAGTGCAGAGTGTAGTATCAGCACAACCGACCCCATGTGCTGGTAAATGCCTGTTGCCCTGGCCTAACCCCGGCGAAGTAAAGACGAGGCTAGGACTAGACTACCAATTAAACCTGTGCAGTTACATTATATACAGCGGAAAATAAAACAGAAATAAACAATTAAATATGGGAGGGGGACATGCTGCGGGGGAATATCATTTATCAAAAGTAATTCAAGAGAGAAGCATAAAGACAATTTAGAATTAACAACAAAAGAATAAGGAAATCGTAACCAACCAATATACACTTTTATTATCTACTGTTGCAGCGCGCAACCCGATTCAAATCATAGAAATACTATTGCGGCGTGCAACCCGATCCATATCATTTATCACTATTGCTGCGTGCAACCCGATCCAATTATATTGTTATTGCGGCGTGCAACCCGAACCAATTATATTGTTGTTGCATCGTGCAACCCGATCCAATTATATTGTTGTTGCAGCGTGCAACCCGATCCAATCATAATATTGTTACGGCATGCAACCAGATCCAAATATAATATTGTTGCAATGTGCAATCCGATCCAAATATAATATTGTTGCAGCGTACAACCCGATCCCAATATACAATTCAACACCAATAACAAAGGAGCCCCGACAAGGGGACAATAAGGGAGAAACAATATTCCGGTGAGGGAATCAATAACATCATAATAAAATCAAGTAACAACAGAAAATCCGTAAATAAACGTAAAGGATAACATAACTCAATTATCAACAAGATTCAGGAAAATCAAGGACAAGTGCACGACATCACCCTTCGTACTTTAACACTCTCTTACCAAAACAATAATCACATGAAATAAGGTCAAGGAAATAAATGAAATCACAATAAAATCCCGGCAAGGAAACAACAGTACAACAATCGAATATCGGCGAGGGAACAATATCAAAAATCCTCTTCTCTTTCCCTTTTCACATTTACTTCACAACTCACTTCACAACTTGAGCGAATGCTCTATAAGGTTCAATTGCCAATTATACTTCCGCAATTTATTTTACAACTTGAGCCAACGCTCTTCAATATTCAAATCCAATATTACTTCTACAAGCCTTGCTCAACAATAGAAATCATCACAAAAGGCATGAACAATACAAATGGAGTCACATTAATCATCGTATAAGACTCACGAGCATGCTTGACACTAACATATAGATACTCGTCACCATGCCTATACGTCGTACTCAACAAATAATACATAGCAAATAGGACACAACTCTTAAATCCTCAAGCTAAGGTTAGACCAAACACTTACCTTGATGCCACGAACACAACTCAAGCTTCAACTATCACTTTACCTCTTGATTCCACCACCAACTCGCTCATATCTAGCCACAAGCTACTTAATTATATCAATAAACGCTAAATGAATCAACTCCAATGCATGAAAATAAATTTTCCAAAGTTTTACCTAAAAAGTCAAAAATCGCCCCCGGGCCCACATGGTCAAACCCGAGGTTCGAACCAAAACCCGATTACCCATTGTCCCACGAACCCAAATATATAATTTGTTTTGAAATTGGACCTCAAATCAAGGTCCAAATCCCCAAAATTTGAAAAACCTAGGTTCTACCCAAAACACCCAATTCCCCCATGAAAACCATTGATTCTAGGATGAAATCTTGTGAAAAGAAGTTAAGGAGTAAAGAAAATGAGTTAGAAATCACTTAGCAATGTTTTGGAGAAGAAAGGCTGTTTGAAAAATTGCCTCTTATGTTTTTGGGGTTTAGAAAAATAAAAAATAACTGAAAATCCCATTTTAATATACCCATCTCATACCCCCTATGCGAACCGCACAAAATCGAGTGCGGCCGCACATCTCTCCATGTGGACTGCAGTGACATGCTTTAGTATTTTGGCCATAACTTTCTCTACAGATGTCCATTGTGATTTCTTTGCCTTTCTGGAAACTAGACACGAAGGGCTACAACTTTCATTTTTGAATCATCTCAAAATTCCTTGTATATCAAAAGATATAGGCTTCCGAAGTCGGACCAGTGAATCTGTGCGGACCGCACAAAATTGAGTGCGTCCGCACAACCCCCACCGCGGACATCACCAAAACCAATACGGTCAGCACTGCCGTGTTCAGAGATTTGCACTTCTCTGAACCTGCAACATCCATGTTTTAATCCTAAGGCATCCCGGAACCTACCTGAAACTCACCCGTGCCCTCGGAACTCCAAACCAAGTGTGCATACTAACTTAAAGACATCATATGGACCTACTCGTGCGATATCATCATCAAAATAACATGTAAAATCATGAATTAAACCTCAAAACTCAACATTTTCATCAAGAACTCTCAGAGTTCATAACTCTTCAACCGGAAGTCCAACTCACGTCAAATAAACTCTGTTTTTCACCAAATTTCACAGTTATCTTTCAAATACTATAACAAGTTTGTATCAGGCTCCTGAACCAAAATACGGTCCCGATAATAATGGTTTCAAACATTAATTCTTTTCTTCATTTCTTAGACAATTCAGTAAAATAATTTCTTTCAAAAATTAATTTCTAAGGGTTAGGACCTTGGAATTTATTTTCGGGCATACGGCCAAGTCTCATATTTTAGTGCGGACCTTCCGGGATCGTCGGAACACGGATCCGGGTCCATTTTCTCAAAATATTGATCAAAGTCAACCATAATCAAATTTTAACTCTAGTCAACCATAAGAAGAATTTCAGGAAAAATAAGGGCATGTTACGTAAGGGTTGCTAACGTGCGCCACTGATCAGAAATGGCGAGGAAGAAGAGGAATGGCGATTTATTTTCTGAAGTTGTTTGTTGAGGTCAGGAGCCCGCCTGAAGAGAGGAATGACGATTTATTTCTGAAGTTGTTGTTGAAGTCAGGAGCCCGCCTGAAGAGAGGAATGTCGTTTATTTTTAAGTTGTTGATTGAGGTTAGGAGCCCGCCTGAAGAGAGGAATGGCGTTTTATTTTCCAATTGTTGTTGAAGTCAGGAGCCCGCCTGAAGAGAGGAATGACGTTTATTTTTAAGTTGTTGTTTGAAGTCAGGAGCCCGCCTGAAGAGAGGAATGGCGTTTATATTTAAGTTATTGTTTGAAGTCAGGAGCCCGCTTGAAGAGAGGAATTGCGTTTTATTTTCTAAGTTGTTGAAGTCAGGAGCCCGCCTGAAGAGAGGAATGGCATTTTATTTTCCAAGTTGTTGGTTGAGGTCAGGAGCCCGCTTTAAGAGAGGAATGGCGTTTATTTTTAAGTTGTTGTTTGAAGTCAGGAGCCCGCCTGAAGAGAGGAATGACATTTTATTTTCTAAGTTATTGTTGAAGTCAGGAGCCCGCCTGAAGAGAGGAATGGCATTTTATTTTCAAGTTGTTGGTTGAGGTCAGGAGCCCGCCTGAAGAGAGGAATGGCGTTTTATTTTCCAAAGTTGTTGTTAAAGTTAGGAGCTCCCCTGAAAAGAGGAATGGCGATTTATTTTCAAAGTTGTTGGTTGAAGTCAGGAGCCCTCCTGAAGAGAGGAATGGCGTTTTTATTTTCAAAGATGTTGTTGAAGTCAGGAGCCCACCTGAAGAGAGGAATGACGATTTTTATTTTCAAAGTTGTTGTTGAAGTCAGGAGCCCTCCTGAAGAGAGGAATGGCGTTTATTTTCAGAGTTGTTTTTGAAGTCGGGAGCCCTCCCGTATAACAGAGGAATACATTTCAGTCTTTATATTTCCAGTTTGAAGTCGGGAGCCCGCCCGTATAACAGAGGAATACATTCCAGTCTTTACATTTTAAGTTTTGAAGTCGGGAGCCCGCCCGTATAACAGAGGAATACATTTCAGTCTTTACATTTCAAGTTTTGAAGTCGGGAGCCCGCCCGTATAACAGAGGAATACATTTCAGTCTTTACATTTCTAGTTTGAAGTCGGGAGCCCGCCCGTATAACAGAGGAATACATTGAAGTTTGAAGTCAGTAAAGCAGAGGGTTACAAGAGAAAATATACGGGCCCGATAAACTCTGTTTTTCACCAAATTTCACAGTTATCTTTCAAATACTATAACAAGTTTGTATCGGGCTCCTGAACCAAAATACGGGCCCGATAATAATGGTTTCAAACATTAATTCTTTTCTTCATTTCTTAGATAATTCAGTAAAATAATTTTCTTTCAAAAATTAATTTCTAAGGGTTAGGACCTCGGAATTTATTTTTGGGCATACGGCCAAGTCCCATATTTTAGTGCAGACCTTCCGGGATCGTCGGAACACAGATCCGGGTCCATTTTCTCAAAATATTGATCAAAGTCAACCATAATTAAATTTTAACTCTAGTCAACCATAAGAAGAATTTCAGGAAAAATAAGGGCATGTTACGTAAGTGTTGCTAACGTGCGTCACTGATCAGAAATGGCGAGGAAGAAGAGGCAGGCAGCTCCGACGCCGACCTCTCCAAAAGCTAATGAAGGAACTTCTAGGCAAATAACACCAGAATCTGGAGTTCCCCAAACTCTAGAGCCGATTCAATTGATGCAATGGATGCCAGGGATGGGGAGTGCACCAACAGTAATGCAAACGACGATTCCACCAAGACAAGCCACCAAGACAAGAAGAGACTCCACTAGATCCAGTTGTAGGAGCTTCAAATGCAGCAAGGAAACTTACTTTCTCGGCTAAATCTACTGAAGTGAAACCTACTATGGCGGAAGTGGTAAAAGGGAATCGACAGCAGCAAGTGGGACAGAAGCTTGACTACTTTCCACCGGTAATGAAGGACGGAGTGAAGGTAGTTAAACTAGATCCAAAGGAAATTGAGGAGCAGAATCAGAAATGGAGTTTAGCCTTGATTGGGTATGTCATCGGAGGAAACCCTGCGTTTAAGGAGATGCTCAAATTCGTTTATGGAGTATGGAATATAGTCAATACTCCTCAGGTATATCTCCATAACGATGGGTATTTCCTATTCAGATTTGATTGTGAGGAAGATAAGTCTGCAATTCTACAAAATGGGCCATACATTTTTAATTATAGACCTCTTGTGCTCAAGCAATGGAGTCCAGACTTTCAGATGAGTGTGGAACCTGACCAAAATGTTCCTATGTGGGTAATGCTTCCAAATTTACCAATACAATTTTGGACTGCTGGGAACTTGGGAAGAATAGCCAGCTGTTTAGGACGACCAATTTGTACCGATAAATTGACAACACAGGAAGATAGAATTGCTTATGCCAGAATGCTAATTGAAATGGACATATCACAACCACTACCAGATGATATTTCATTAGAGATGCCTAATGGAAAATGCCATGTACAGGTGGTGGAATATGAGCGGAAGCCCTTATTCTGTCAAGACTGTCTACAAATGGGACATGCTACATGCAGCTGTAAGGAAAAAGTAGATGACAATGGCAACTGGAAACAACAACAATTGAACAAAGGAAAGAAAAACCAAAAGAAGGAATGGAGAGAAAAAAATGATACAACCAAAGAAGAAGGGAAGGAGCAGGAACTGAATCCAGGAGATAGGGCCCCAATAGTGAAACAATCTGAGAGCTTAGAAGATGCAGATAGCTTGATTATAAATGGACAACAGACTGAAGATAGACCAACGGTGATAATTAATAGTAAAGATGATAGAGGGAAGCAAAAAAATGCCAGAAGTGCAAGATAAAATAAGGGCAAGTATTGAAATAGAGAGGGTACTAAGGCAGAATAAATTTAGTGCATCAAGGATTGATACAGAGAAACTCACAAGTAATGTGGGAAGGGTTCCTAACTCAGCCAATAAGAACCCTCCATGATTTTTGGATCATGGAATATTAGAGGGCTAAATAAGCCCTATAAGCAGAAGGAGTTCAAATCATTTCTGCTTAAAAATAAAGTGGTTCTAGTTGGTTGTCTTGAGACAAAAGTGAAAGTAAATAAAGCTGAAAGAATAAAGAGGAAACTGGGAGCAGATTGGCAAGTAGAAGCAGACTATAACTCAAGTCCTAATGGTAGAATATGGGTTTGTTGGAAACCACAACAGGTTATGGTCAGCATTATATTTTCACAACCTCAAGTGGTCCATTGCTATGTGAAAGACAAGTAGTCAGGCTTTGCAAGTTATGTTACTTACATTTATGGCCATAATACTAATGAAGGAAGGAAGCAAATCTGGGAACAACTGAAGAGGATTAGTAACAATGTGACAGAACCATGGGTAATAATGGGAGATTTCAACACAATTATGTCAGTTCATGATAGAGTCAATGGGTCCCCTGTCCAACAGGCAGAAACACAAGACTTTCAGGAATGTGTAGATGAGATTAGCCTTGGTCAAATTAGAAGGAAGGGATGTCAATATTCATGGAATAACAAGGCTCTAGGCAATGATCAGTAGTTTCTTAATTATGGCAATCTGGAGGCCTGCTACCACAATCCAGGATGCTCAGATCACTCACCTATCCTTATATCTACTAGTGTGCCGAGGCAGAGACTGGCCAAACCTTTTAGATTATAAATTAGAGGGACTTCTGTGCAAGCTTAATGAGGTGCAGTAGGAATTGGAGAATGATCTATACAATAACCAGTTGATTGCAGCAGAAAGGGAGATACTGAAAGATTTGGAGAAATGGGCTGTTATACATGAAATAGTACTTAGACAAAAATCAAAAGTTGTTTGGATTAATCATGGGGACTCCAACACAAAATACTTTCATGCTCAACTCAAAGCCAGGCAAGGGAGAAATAGTATTGTATCCATATGGAATGAGCAAGGAGTGCAGCTAACAGAGCCTGATCAGGTGCAAAAGAAGTTTATCGAATTCTTCAAGAAGTTACTACGCACAAGTGCTACAGAGCTGCCAGGCCTAAACACCTATTATGCCAAATATGGGCCATGCCTCAACAGGGAGCAACAACAAGCTCTTGTTCAGCCAGTAACAGAAGAAGAAGTGTTACAAGCATTAAGGGATCTGCCTAATGATAAATCTCCTGGAATTGATGGATTCACTGCAGTATTTTTCAAGGAGTATTGGGGGATAATAGGAGAAGAAGTTACTGAGGCCATTATGCATTTCATCAACAATAGGAAGCTGTTAAAAGAGATCAACTACACTACTATAACATTAGTACCTAAGGTTCCTAATCCTACATATGTGAAAGAATATAGACCTATAGCTTGTTGCACCACCATGTACAAGCTTATAGGGGAAATTCTTGCTGCTAGGTTGAAAACAGTAGTGGATTATCTGGTTGGACCATCCCAATCAGCTTTCATAGCAGGGAGAAGCATATTAGATAATGTTATAGTGGCCCATGAATTAGTGAAGGGATACACTCAAAAAGGATTATCACCTAGATGCCTTATCAAAATTGATATAAGGAAAGCATATAATTCAGTGGAATGGGTATTCCTCAAAAATGTTCTGGTGGAATTTGGCTTGCCGGGGAAGTTCATTAATTGGATCATGGAATGTGTTACTACAGTAAGCTACTCAATCCTAATTAATGGAGGGCTCACTCCTAAGTTTATGGCAAAAAAGGGATTAAGGCCGGGGGACCCTATGTCCCCATACCTCTTTGTGCTAGCTATGGAATATCTGAACATGACTCTTAAGCAGCTGCAGCATAATCCTAACTTCAACTACCATCCAAGATGTGGAAAATTGAAGTTAGTGCATATATGTTTTGTGGATGATCTTATAATGTGTTTTCGAGCAGATAGAATTTCCATTCAGTTGCTGCTGCAAGCATTCAACCACTTCTCAGAGGTCTCTGGACTTAAAGCTAATCTGGACAAAAGTTCCCTTTATATCACTGGTGTATCAATGGAGCTAAAGGAGCAGATTTTGAATGAATCCCCTATCCTCCAAGAAGCTTACCATACAGCAGTGCATGGCAGTAATTGAGAGAATGATTGCAAAAATCAAGTGTTGGACTACTAAGCTGCTATCCTACAGTGGAAGACTGCAACTGATCAAGAGTGTGTTGTTTGAGGTGCAAACATACTGGGCTCAAGTATTTCTGTTGCCAAAGAAGGTAACTCAACTACTAACAAGCATTTGTAGAACCTTTCCCTGGACAGGAAGTTGTGAAGCATCGAGGAAGGCATTAGTGTCATGGATCAGCTGTGTATGCCCAAGTCAGCTGGAGGGATGAACATTATTAATTTTTACACATGGAATAAGGCAGCAATATGTAAACTCCTATGGGCAGTGATCACAAAAAAGGAGACTCTTTGGGTGTTGTGGGTACATGGATTCTATATAAAGAACAGAGACTTGAGCAATATGGTAACATACGGCCAAGTCCCATGACACTATTTGTGATTTGGCTATGATTTGTTCATGTTGTTCTTCTATTTGTTTTAGCATGTTAAAAACCCTAGATCCTTTTAGTTTATCCGAGTTCTGAAACTATTTGTCTACATGTGTACTTGTTCTTTAGTTCTGACTCTCTTTTCCTTGTTTGATTTGTCGATTCTAAGTTCTTACCATCTTTCAAAACTCGGCTACTGTAAAAGCCCTAGAATTCTTAGAAGTTTTTCTCACTTTTTACTACTCTGAGACCTTTACTTGTTTCTGATTTATCTTACCTAATACCATGTTCTTCTTCACTGTTGATTTCATGTGACTACTTGACCTACTTAACTACTGTGCTTCGAGTATTCTTTTGCTACTGAACACTAGTTTGCCTCTATGGCTACTGTATGTTGTGTTGCTTCTTTTTTTATCAGTGTGTTTAACTTTACATGCTTATTCATCCCTTGCTATTTATATAGTGAAATGCAGAATCATGTTCTTCTCTTGATTGATCTTGGTTCCTTTAATTTTGTGACTGATTTCAAAAGCTTTTCTTTCATAAGCCCTAATTTTGCTCGCCTGTTTAAAATCAATTGATTCTGTTCCCTTTACTATTATATTTTTACTTTACTGAATCTTTTCCAAAATAAGCCTATTTTTGTATTTAGACTCGATTGTCTACTTCATGCTTTTACTATCCTTTTTATGGCAATAATCAATCCGACCCTGAATCAATTTTCTTTCCTTAATTAAACTTGTTGACACCTGTTAAATAGTAATTCCTTATTTAAAGGGGAATCACATGGGTTAATTGATTCTAACTATGATTGTTTCCATATTTGTGCTGAAATTATACTGCTTACCTTACTCTTTACTCGTTTTCAGAACTATAAATACCTCTACACTCTTCTCTTTCAAAGACACAAGAGTTCTAACGATCACATACAATATACTCACTACTTCTCTTTCTCAAATACTTTTTGAGTTCTCTCAAAAGCATTCGAGTTTTCTGCTGAAATCATAAGTTAGTTTCTTTGTGGCTGCAAGTGTTCTGCTTCTCTTTCTGTTTACTTTGCAACTGGTATGTCTCTTTAGTTTAATACTGCCTCTCCCCTATGTGTTTTACACTTCAGTTCTTTTGTGCTTGTTTCTTACTGCTTTTCTGCAAGTTTGCCATCTTTGTTCCTATATGAATTCCCTATCCCTGAACCCCTTATATGTCGAGCTATGGTTCATAAAGCATGACAATACTTAAACATTATTGTTCATGTGTCTGGACTGGATTCCTTGAATCCTAAGCTCTATCAATTTCCACTCCCTTTTCCCTTATGTGTGCTCTGAGACTAAGACCTTGGTCTGGCAGTGTCCTAATCACTGTCCAGGCCATGGTCTGACCTTCATAGGTCTATGCTCCTGTTTGTTGGCTAAATAGGTTTGGTCAGGGGTGTGCCAGCCTGCTTTGTGGATAGGCATGACCCCCAACCTGTTATGGCATTTCCCAACCCCCTTTTTTGCACTTACACTTATTCTTAGAACATTAAGTTATGTCCCTCTCTTGTGAGCCATACTTTGGACCCATGAGCTCCCTATGAACTTGGACACCTGAGGGCTGGCTCTTCCATACTGCACTACAACTTATTCTGATTGGTATCTTGGGTGTAAGCAATGCATGGAATTCCTGAAATTCCTTGGAACTTTGAAACACCCTGGATAAAGAGAAGGCTTTGAAAAATCTGGATCCCGGAAGTGGTTCAATCTCATATTGTTAGACACTAAGTCTGCATTAGGTTCCTTGGATGCAGCTGTAATTTCTGATGTACTTTTTTTCTACTTTTCTGGTCTGTAGTAATTCGTATCAACTCGGGGATCTAGTGAAAAGGGTGGGGGTTTTACTTTTCTGCATAAAGGGTAGAAATCATGCATATTGGATCTCTTTACTATTAATGTGTGACAACTCATGAGTAGAAACCATGCCTATACGACCTAATTCTTAAATTTTTTGCAAGCATGCATATAGACACCATGCCTACAGGAATGTGCATATTTATAACATTAGGAAAACCATTAGGTCCAATAAAAATCAGCGCATAGATATCATGCTCATAAGGCTGTAAACGTTTAAAAGGGGTTAGAATCAATAACTCGTAGAAATCATGCCTATAGGATCCCTTAAATCAGATTCATATCATTCGTCTAAAAATAGTAACGATTTTTTACTGGAACAATTGACTAAAATAATGACTTTCTGTACTATTAAACTTTCTTTACACACAGATCAGTGCTTTTCTTTCCAAAACCTATCCCTTTTAATAAACATTCTCAAATCAATGCATGCTCTTTTTTGAAAACTTCTGCCTTTCTGATAATCTGACAAACGATTTCTAAA